ATTATATAAAACACATTTTTAAAAATTTTTTATCATAGAAAACCAATAATTTAAAATTATTTGTATTGAAATACAATGTAATCTTACCATATTGTTGATTCAAAAACCTATTGTTGTCAATATTTTCTAAAAGCTCTTAAAACGGCAGCGATTGTCATAATAAAGATTTATTTTCAACACAATTTTGCTATTATTGCTTAGCTATTGAAATGTTTATTATATGTAAAATACTGATTATGTAATAAGTTTTATTTAAATATAATTTTTCAAAAGTAATTTTCCATTGTTTAGAAGTTGATTATATAAATGACATAGATGCATTAACTTAATTATATACTAAAATAAAGTTATTTCTTTTAATAATATAAAAATAATCTAAATTAAAACATTAAAAATAAAAGATGCTAGATTTCACATATTTGATTTTTTTATTATCTCAATGTATGATAAAATAAATGACCACTATATTGTTAAAATACGTAATTATAAATAAATATGGTAAAATTAATATTATATAGTAAAATACATAAAATAATGCAATTTTTGCATATTATGCTTTAAAAATTATTTTGCGTTTTATGTCATAATAATATATAATTTTTGAATTTAAATTCACAATCTAGTAATGAGTTTTTATGAAAAACGTGAGTATTATGTTTCATGTCATAAAATGTTAATTTTAAAATCAAAATAATTCATTGAATTTTTATTTTGCTTTAATCCATGAGTTTAAGAAACTAAAAAATGTATAAATTGTTTAATTAAAGAAAAACAAGATAAATATCTTTTTAAAATTATATAATATAATCAATCTTTACTATTACTTGACATTAAATGTCCATTTTTTGATACTCTTTCTACAACTCATCACTCGTTACTTGAAATAGATAATGTGTTTAATGCAAATTTGTATTGTATTTGAATCAAAGATACAAAAATTGTATTATAATTTTTTAATATTTAGTTTTGTGTCTAAAATGTTGATATCACAATATTGCGATAATAATCAAATTGATAACAGAAGTTATCATTAGTATAGGACAGTGATTAAAATTACAAATACAAAAAATATATTTTTATTATAATTTATGTAAAGATCCTGGTTAAAATTAAAATATAAATTTTCAAATGTGCTATGAATGACGTTAATTTTTAAATGAAAAAGTTATCATAAATAATGAACTTAATTTTTATCACTGGTATAGGCTTTGTGTGATTACCGATCATCTAATAAATTAATAAATAATTATAATAATTTTTATGTAATGTAAATTTTGAAATATAATTATATCATTTGTTTTTAAGTAAAAATAGAAATTCAATTTATAATGAAAACTATTTATAGAGTATATCTAATGAAACAAACAATACATATAAATAAACTGTATTAAAGCTATTTTGTTGTTTATTAAAAATTTATGCAACATTTTATAAAATGACTTATTGTGAAACAAATTATTTTTTAAAAGTATAAATGTTTTATATGTCTACAGCAATTCAATAGCTGTTGTTTATTAAATTTATTTATATTTATCTCAAATATAGTGTAAGAAATAGATAATTAATAGATAAGTCACAATAAATAAATGTATTAATGTTTTAAATCTATGATAAAAATTTAGCTCATCAATAGAGAAACAATGAATATTTTTTATTTTTATAATATGATCAATAAAATGCTTTCACTGACACACAGTCCGACATAATTTATAATCTCTGGGAATTGTAACTTATTATCTTAAACCATGATATTTGTTCCCATTTTTTTGTTATTTATACATAATTTTGTAGATTTCATATAATGATTACAAAGATCACAAACACTCATACAATTTATACAATAAAAGTGTGCTTCTGTTTCAAACATGTTGTTTGAGAAAAATATACCTAAAAATATATATAATAAATATATTTATATTTATTTATTGTTAGACAATCACACATATCATCTAAAGTATGTGACTCACATCATGCATCAAATATACTGTATATAATATACGGTGAATAAAACTTATGTTATATTATATTATCAATGACTGAACAAATAACATATTTCTAAAAAAAAAAATCTAAAACAGATTTTTTCTCAAATTTATTATATAGTAATTTACTTTGTATTAATTATACAGATACTGTAAATACACACAAGTATAAATAAATTTGAATATATTTATATACAGTACTTATATACTGTATATGCAATACAATATTTAAAATATATTATAGTTTATGAAATATTTTGTTGAGTACTGCAATCCCGGAAAAATTAATATTTTAAATAATTAATATTTTATGCACTTTTACGGAGTATTGTATTTATTAGCTTTAGATCATTACTTACACTAGAAATACATTCAATAACAAATAAAATCTTATTTAAAATAGATATTATGCTTTAGATCTCCAATTTATATCACAGAGTTATAAATACAACTTATACTACTATTTAATATGGTATAACTAAAGTATTAAACTATGGGCATATTATTTATGGGCCACCACCCTATACTTTACATCCCAGTCCTCATAACTATACGAACACATCAATAATTTTAATAATTTTTGCGTTCAATTCCTATTTACAGACGGGTTTGGCCGTCAATATAAACCATTCTTTTTACTTTTTGTTTATCATTATTATTATTATTATTATAAATAAAATTATTTTAAAATATTTATTTTTGTTTAAAGTATATATTAAAAACTTTTGCATTCAAAATTTGAAGCAAAAAACTTTTAGTTTATATAAAACATTTTTCTCAATATATAATATTAATACCTGTATACAGTACATATAATTTCGTTGAAACCGTATAATGTAATACTAAATCATTTAAATGCCGATATATATAAAATCATGTTATTTTGTTGTTATTTTTGTTATTTGAATTTAATGTAAAAGTCATTACATTAGAAATCTGTTTTCTCTATCATATGATTTCATTGTTAATTTATTTCTTTAATTTATATATTGAAATAAACTAATAATTTTCCTTTATATACTCTATATTAATTATTTTCTAAAGTAATTTATTTTATTTAAATTAATCAAATATTACAGCATATTACATAAAAATAACATGAGTTATATTATTATAATTATTATCAGATCTATAATTTGCAAATTTAAATAAATGACAAATTATAAAAAACATATTTTATGTATTTAATAATTCAATAGTAATTCACACGAATAATCATTAAATTTAAAACTTATAATTAGCTTTATTATTAATACTATAATAATATGAATCAGTCAAACAATTGTTTCAAATGTTAGAGTGAGAAAATCGGTCAATTATTTTTGTTATGCATTAATATTAATATTTAATAAAAAATAATAGTGAATTGTTTTCAGAATAAAGGCTTTAATTTAATAATATATTTAAATTATATACAAAATTTTTTATGTTTTGTACATGTAACGTTATTTAATAACTATCAAATAGAAAATTTAAAAACAACAATTACAATTAACCATTATTTAATTTAATATATACATTAAAGTTTGAAATATATTAGATTTTATAAACTAAAATATTATATATGAATTTTTTTAGCAATATGTTGGCACTTAAGGTGGGGTAACAACAATACCGTTCAAATAATAGATTTTTGCATTTTATATTAAATAAATTTCTAATATAAAATTTAGTAAATTTTTCAATTTAGTAGATTTTTAAAACAAAAATCTTAAAATATGCAAATATATTATGTAAGACTATTTAAATATGTAATGAAAGATTTATAAAGATAATGAAAAAAATTAATTCACTTTCTAATAAAATATAAAATGTGTTAAAAATCTCTTATATTATGTGAAAAATTTTATGTTAATGTAAAAAATTTTGTATCAGTTTTTTCTTAACAATAATAACAATTTATATTAATTGTTTTGTTTTTATACACCTTCAAAATTTCAATAGCAATTATACTATATATTTGTTTAGAAATTTAGAATCATTTATAATATTAGTATTTAATTTAATTTAATAACAAATTATGCATTGACTTAATTTCATTTACTAAATCTATTTTATTTTGAATTTTATAAATTAATCTTTAAGAAAAAATATAAATTAATATACATATAATACTGTGTATATATTGTATAAATATAATATATAGTAAACATACATTATATTCAATATGCCTTTTGATTACAATTTACTCAAAAAAAATAATATTTCAAAAATTTATATTAAGACTCCCATTTAATTTAATAAAACACTTTAAAAACTTTCATAACATTTTAAATACTTTCATTAAATCAAATCTATTATTCTATTGATTGTTAAAATAATAATCACAAAATAATTATAAAGAAATTGTTTTTTGACTTACTTTGAAAAAATCATTGTTTTATATCTTCAATTGTAGTATTTATTGCATAACATAAGCTTTCAAACAAATAGTTTCAAAATTAAATGTATCCCCATTTGAATAACTTTTGTTGAGTTAAAGTTTGTTTTTATAACTTAATAATATATTACTTTCACTTATTTTTTCAAATTTAAAGAAGAATTATTATATTTGTTTTAGTTATAAATATTTTTTGCAAACGTTTTATATTTATTGTTGTTTATTATATGGATAAAAGAGTTGATTATTTATTAGATTTAATTTTATTCAATGTACGTTTATATTTATTTTTAAAATTATTATTAAAATAAATAATATTTTATGTTTGCTTTATTTTAACAAAACACTACGAGAGTTACTGTTTAAGTTTTTAGGAATTATAATATATTGTATAATATAAGTCAAAAATAGTTACTTATTTTTAGTCATAAAAAATACTTAAATTGTTTTTTGCATAACATATGAGAGATAGTACTGAAATTAAGATTTTTGTATAAAATAATTTTTAGTAATTCCTATCACATTCTCTTCCAGTCGTTTAAGTAGTTTGTCCTCCCTTTCCATACACCGTTCCCATCATTTTTTGAATTTGTTTTTATATTATATCAATAAGATTTTTGGCGTGTGATATGCGAGCAATGATGGAGATGATGGTATGTGAGGCCAATGGTATGCCTTTTTGCTTATATATTAATAGTAAGGAACAGTAGACACAAGACAGCTGTCGAGTATGTTGTTGTGTATGTGGTTTTCAATGTATCTATATATGCATTTTGTGCACCAATAGTTATTATATGCCACACAAACAGGCACACAGATAAAGTTAATATCGCTTCAATGTTTTATACAGTATATATATATATAAATATAAATATTTTATAAACAATTTGATTTAATATTTGAAGTTAAAAATACCAAAACCATTGATATAAATATTAGAGACAAAACACATTGACTTTATGTGGACACAAACATACAGTATATATCGTATTTATAAACAGTATATGTGTAGCCATTTTTGTAATTTAATTTAATAACTGAATTAATTATTTAATGTATATAAAACACAATGACATGAGATATATGGCAATCTTTCAAAACGTTGAATACTTTTATAATTATATTATTTATTATTATTATATGTTTAACTATATTTATAATACAAATAAAACTTTATAAAATTTATATTATAATTTGGTGTTGCAAAAATAATTAACTAAAAACATAGAGTGTATAATATATATTTTTTACAATATATATCAACACATTTATTAGGAAACATAAATTTTTGTGTACTTATTCACTTGAAAATATGTTAAATTCGTTTTTTATTTAATAATAAAAATATTAATAAAATAATAATAATAATAATTTTGTATTTTATGGTATGTCCTATCTTATCAAAATGTTATCTTTTTATATAAATAAATATAAAAACTATTTTAATAAACTTTCGAATAATATTTACAACAAATGCAATTAAAGTTAAGTAAATATTGTAGAAATAATAACTTTATATCCATTACAACGTCTACCTTCACTTAATTATATACATGAAATTGACATTTATATTATTAATAGACCATTAATTAATAAAACATATCTATTGTAATAGGATAGGGATGTATTTTTATATCAATTTATAATTAAAAATATAAACACTATTGAACTTTTATATAAAAATTTCACAAAAATTATATTTAATTAACATGTATTTAAAACCACACACAAAATAAACAATTTTTTTTTATAAATAATATTTAAAAAATATAAAAACATAAAAATAAAGTAAAAACTATATTTATATAATTAATTTAGATTTTTAAAATCAAATATCAAAATTATTTTTGCATTTTTTCAATTTATTATTAAATTAATTTAGAAATAAATTTTATAGCATTAATAAATTTTTTTATTAAACAAACTTTTCTTAAAAGTTATTACACTTTATATTAAATTAATAATTTTAATGATACACTTTCACTACTAGTTTGGCAATAGCTGTGCAGCACTTATAGATATTTATGAAAAGCATCGACAGTGAGGAACCATAGGTTCTCTCATTTGGTGTTTGGGGCCCTCAAAGCAGTCGCTAAAACTAGCGATACAAGTGAGAGATCAGCTCATCAGCCGCTCAGTTATGTAACTGAACGGTGCTCTCACTGGTGGATAACACACTGTATGAGTGAAGTCAGGGCTATTGCGCTATGAGTGCGCGCCATTCATACCATACATTTCAAGTGAAAAGATAACCAGTGAAGAGACAACAACCTTCACTTCTTGCATAAGAGCACCGGCCGTACGGCTTATGTATTATCTCTTAGAAAAATGTATTGATGTGAGTGTTGCCTGTTTTCACTGTATAAGCCATTAAAACACAACAAATACATTACAGTACTATTGCATCTCAATGTATGTATTATTAGTAGTACTGTAAAACTAATTATACAAAATCAAGTGATTTGTTTAGCATTTCATAGATATTGATCACAATTATTACTAAACAGAGTTTATGTTTAATCAAATTTACATATAGTATAACAATTGTAATGTCATCTGTATATGTAAATACATTTAAAGACATTTAAATACATTGACATAACAATCAATTTTTACAATTCATTAGACATATATAAACATTTTATGGGTGACCCCTTGACTATCCCTCTTACCTGTGCTTTAGATTCAAGGCTTTGTTTCGTTAGTTTTACTTTTTGTGTATATTTGTTAGTTTTGAGGAGTGTTTTTTGGTTTTATTACACATATAAAGCAGTTTTGTTTGTGTAATTCAAGCAAACAATGTTTTATTAATATCAATAAACTAACTCAAACATCAGTATTTGGAAATTTTAAATCTGTACAAATAAAATGCAAATTATTATTAATTTGTCATTTTATCAAAATAAAATTAGTGACTAATAAATTGAATATTAATATTAACGTTATATGACATTTGAAATATAAATTATCAAAAATCAAATATTTCTACAACTAATATTTATTTTAATGTATAATTTAATCGATGCTTTTTTATTAATAAATAACAAAATATAATGCACCAATGTACTACCATGTTTCAAATTTAATTTACTTTTATAATTGTATTATTATTATTATATGCTAAATATTCATATCAACTGTACATTAAAATACATTATAATATACAGTAATTCATGTCTAAGAAATATTTATAAAAGAAAATGTGGATAATTCATGTTAGACCAAAACAATTGGTATTTATTAATAATAATTATAACCAACAACTCATTTATGTCAAAACTCAATATATTAATAGAATTTAATAAAAAATAGTTATATTATTTGAAAGTAAGATTAACAGTAAAATAATTAGCAATTTTCAGTTTGTTTTAATTATAGTATCAAATACTTTCGTATTGATTATATTCTCCGCAAGAATTCATTTGAACTAAAATATAATTTCATTTCACATCAAATCAAACGTCAACTCTAAGTAAAATCACTAAAAAAATATAAATTACAATACTTTTCAGTTTAATATTAATCATAATTATGTCCTTGGTCATTTTTACATTTAAAGTATGATTTACCAGATATTTAATATATAATATCAACAGTCGAAAACAGTCGAGTTTAAAATATATTCTCTTTAATTAAACTTATAATTATAAATTATATTTTTATTTTTATTATAATATATTAAACTCTAGATTATTATTATTATATGATTAATATAATTTATATGCCAGCATAAATAATTTTAAATTTGTTTTATTTTTGAAAAAATGTTTTTAAAACTACTGTAAATAAATCTTTAATCAATAATTCAAAAAATACTATAATATATAAATATTAATATCGCTTTTAATCATTAATTTAAAATTAGAGTTAATATATAAATGTTATTAAATTAAATAAGAAATTGTTTACAACCATTTATTAAGCAAATTAAAAATAATAATCATAACAGGTATTGGATTTTAGAGGGGGTGTAGGATAGGGGTGTCTTTTTATTAAATTTTTAAAAGGCACTTTTAAAATTACAAAATCAAGGTGGGAAAATTCCCTAAAAATTCTTTATATTCCCGAATATTCCCATATAAATGGGAGGAATTTCCAGAAAAATTAACAACATTTTCAAAAAATTCTCTTATTCTTAAATTACTAAAAACTATTAAATATTGGTCAAAAAGTGTGGAGAGGGATGTAAATGGCCAAACACGGCCATACCATACCATTCCTTCTTTAAGACTACTTAATAATTTGTTGTATAAAATATATGATATTAAACTTAATACATATTAAAATTTATTAACTAAATATAAATTATATAATATTATTACTAATAATTACCAGAAATAATAGTTTGCTGTCCGTTAGCACAACAGTCAAGACATCGACACTTAAATATGTTTTTAAAAACAGTCTTCAATTTTATGGATCAAGTCTTGAATCTTTTGTGTCAAACTCGAGTCAGTCATTCCTCTCGATTGTGTTTTTCAATGAAACTCTTGAGGACTGACTTGAGTTTGTTTTGTCCGATCACTGGTTGTGTTTGTTTGAGATAACCATTAGATTGTTATACAGTTGTATAGTATAACACAACTATTAATCGGTTTTATTGCTGTCATTCACTGTTCAGCACTTGATGTCAATGAATATATCGATACAATCGTCTTATAATTGTTATAATTGTTGTAAACTTCAAGTTTTGTTTGTATATTAAGTTTTAAATTTTATTTAATTTAGTTTAAATCATAATATAAGTAGAGTTTAATTAATTAATTTATATTACAGTATAAACAACTAATATTGTAGTTGAAGTAAACTTATGAATATATTAATTTAATTATTAATTAGTAATTATAATATGAAAATTTAAATTTATTAAATAATATCATTTATGATATTAACTGTAAATCAACTAATTTTATTAAATATATAATTATTGAATGTTAGAGAAACACAAGCAGTTGTTCACCACAATTGTGCCGACATTTTCCATAATAACAAAGCGATGTTATGGTCTGTATGTTTGTTTGGTTAGCTCTGGTAGTTGAGAGTCCCGATCGATAAGAGCCGATCGATGCATATGTCGTGCTTTTAGAGAGTCAAACCTAACTGTTAAAAGTGTATCATATTTTGGATAAGAATTTTTGATGAATTTATTTTAAACAAAAAGAGTCAATCATGTGATTAATAAAATATTAAATAATCAAAGTTTTAAATATTTTAATTATACTAAAAAAAATTTATTTAAGAATTTATATTTTTAGAATTTATTTATTCAATAATAAATACATTATATTACATGTATTTGTAACATTATACGTGAACAGTCCATAGACAACGATTATATTAATAGTTAATTTTTTAATTTTTAATTTGAAGAGTTGTTTAATTTTATAAAAAAAATATAGTTTTAAATTTTATTAACAACACACATAACATTTTACTATAAACAAACATAATAAAATACTAGATTTAATTATTTATTTTATTCGGTTAAAGTTTTTAAAATTTATAAACATTTATTTTTATGCTTGAATAATCAAAATTTCTAACTTAATAAAAATCTATTTTTTAGTGTAATTATTTTTTTTTATAAATTTGATTATTTAAGATTTATCAATCGGAAGATTGATTCTTTTATTTTAAATAAATTGCATCAAAATCTGTTAAATATTTAAGAAGATATTAACATTTTTCCAGTATCAGTAGTTAGATAAAAATTTGACTATGATATATATATATATTAATATTATTTTCAATTAGTAAATGTAAAATTTTATAATAAAAATATATTTTAAATTAATTAAACCAATTTGTATATAATATATAATATAATGAATGATAATAATTTTTAAGAGTTACCAATTAATAAAACATTAGATGATCTGATATATCATTTAAGTCAAGCATTTGCCACCAATGAGATAGATGTGGATTACGGGCAAAATCTGATGCTTTCTTATGAAAGTAATCCAAATGATTGCTCACTTTGATGAATATATCTATGTATTCATATTAATCGGTTGTCTATTGTTTAATTAAATTATTACTTTTATAAAATAAATAAAATAAAAAAATTTGAAAATATTGTGTGTATATATAGATATACTAGAAATTTGGTGGATAACGGAAACGGAAAATATAATTTAATATTAGTTTGTTGGACCCGTGCGGCCAAATCGCGTATACACGACAACTCAGACTCACATTGCTTTATGAAAGTATGAATTTATTTTCATAGTATTTACAACAATTAAATCAATATAACTATTACACTATAATTATTTATAGTAAATATATATGCAGTATATACTGTATAATTAGTGATGGATTTTATTTATATTTTATTAGGTGTTGGCCGGAGAGCTGCAAGAAGTACGCTATGAATGGCCCGACAATAATAAGTCTAAAGATGACAACAGTAATGAAATGTTGAAAGTAGTCAATGAAAATGAAATGCCTTTGAATAGTGTTACTTATATTAATGGTATTACAATTATAATGATTAAACCACTTTTAATAACTATTATTTTATTATTATTGATCTTAGATTCAATGGATATACATCACGTGGAAAATCCCGGTGCGACGGGTCCGGTATCACTGCATCTCTATATCTCACTGTGGGGTGATATGTGTCAGGTGTTTGACAAAAGTACTGGAAATAGTAAAAACACAAAACTCACGTTTTATAGTCAGTACGGTTTGCGGACACCTTTACATTGTCGAGTCCCAGACATTGCTGACATATCTACAAAAAAAATTATTTTAAATTATCTTTAATGTTTAATATAGATATAAAAATAAGTTAATTATATTTTATGTTTGTTTAATATTATTGAGATAATAAATATTGAAATGTATTAATTATTACTATTATTATCAAAATAAGTTTACTTTAAGAAATCTTTGACAAAACTTATTAATTTACTGTATAATAGTTATTTAATTTTAAATTAAATGCAATGCTTAATAGTTTTATGACAAAAACTAATTTTATATTTTATCAACTTTGTAATAATGTATATAAATGATTATATTTTAATATCTTATTTTCTATTTTATTTTATAAATATTATTACTTTATTACTCAATTGTATTCATAAAACATTTAATTTGCATAATTAATTTACAAAACTAATTTTATTTAACTGTACTTTAGTATAACAAAATTGAATAAACTTTATTTATTAAAATAACTAGCAATTAAAAATTAGGTCAAAAAATATTATTTCTAAATTAAAATTACCATTGTTTACGATAATTAATAAAATTTCATATAAATAGCTTCTCTTAAAATAAATTATAATTAAATATTTAATTAAATATGTTTTTGTTATTTATTTTCTAAAACAAAATAAAAAAATATTTTGATAAAAAATAATTTAAACAAAATCAGAAAAATTATGTAACAAATAGTTTTATTTATGCATAAAATATTTTTTAAATATAAAATATTTCAATAAATACAACAATTAATATCAAAATATAACTATAATAATATTAAAAATTAATAAAACATATGATTTATTAATTAAAAAATTGCTTAAAAATTAATGATTATTTGTTGAGAACTTAAGAGTTCCTTTGAGGACATCGCGACACTTCTTGAGTTCAGCCAAAGCCAACATAGCTTCGTCTTCGTGTGTGAGCTGTTCTCTGGCCAATACTCTCTGTAAAACATCTAATTGTGTGGTCATATGAGTCCAACAATACTCAATCTTATGTTTTAATTCATAGTTTTCATGTTTCATCACATCATCCGATTCGTCATCATTAGGGAAATCAATGGACGAAATGTGTGTCAATTCATTGATTCGTTTTTCTAGTTTTTTCTTCTGTGATTCATTGCTAGAGAGCTTACGAGTTGACGATTCAGTCATCTGAATGGTTAGAGTTGTCGGTCTAACAATAGACTGTCCATTAATCTTAGCAGAAGGTGATCGCCTCAAGTTTGAGTTGGACTGTTGGGTTGGCGAGTGATCTACTGTTATGTTAGGCATCACTAGTGAAGAATAACCGACGGGTTCCGAATAATTCTGAACAAAACAAATAAATTGGGATTTACTTATATATTGTAATCAAATATAATAAAATACAACTTAATTTGTAAAACTAATTTAGTTTTGAATATTTCCTAAATCTAAAATTGTTTATAATATTATATATATATATATATATATATATATTATAAAATTACAAATATTGGTATCTAAATAATAAAAAATGCATTACTTTTAATAAAAATGTATTTAAAAATAAAACTTATATAAAATTTTTATAAATAAATAAAACTCATTCAACAATTCATTGAAATATTATTTAAGACTACAGTAAGCCATTTGTTATCAACAAAATCATAGCAAAATTCAAAAGCTTTTTGTCGTACCAATGGATCTCTTATATGAAGTGCCAAATGGATAATGTAATGAATGTCTGGCACTGATGGATATCGCATTAAATGGTAGAGACATTGGGCGTAGTCGCTGACTAACAATAGTTTGCGGATAACCAGAAGCATCGCCGCAAATATGTAATCACATAATGCAAAACCGTCGGCAAAAATTGCGTCCCAAATGACCAACAGATCTTGCATTTGAAACTCGCGGCCAAACAAAAGTCTCATCCATCGTATACCATATATTTGTGGTGTGATCTCCATTGACATCAAATGATTATATAGTTCATAGTCTTGACGTTTGACTATCTGTTCGTTAATCATCTTAAGCTTAACGCCCAACACCGAGAACAGTGCCGTTTCGGGCGATCCAGAAAACGGCTCCTTATTTAATGACGTATCTGACTATTATAACACATAAAATTTAAATTATTAATAAATTATTTAAACTGTTTTTAAAAATCAGGAACTTTGATTTAAGAGATAACTAAAATAAGTGATTTACTTAGATTTTATATATTATACAGTATATACTGTACTATATGTTAAAATATGGGGTAAACAAATGTCAAATAATAAAGCAGTAAAACCTTATAGAATATATCTGTGATTATAAAACAAAAATCGTGAACTAATGTAATATTAAATTATTAATAATAATAATCATAAAAACATATTACATAATACAGTATATTATAATATACTTTTTAAAATTTAGATACTATAATAGTACTGTAAATGCAAATCTGAATTATTTTTATATTTTCAAAATATAATGATTTAATTTAAATATATAGTATTTTTTATCAATAGTAATGTTTATGAATGTAGGAGTGAATGAATGTATTTCACAAATTACAATATAAGTCATATAAACCTATTGTGAATTTCATTAGTCGATTATATAATATTAAGATAAAAATCTTAATCAGACGGCAACCGGTTCTTTGGTTTACTTCTATAGTATTTTTTTTATCTAAGAATTGTTTGAAAATTAGGTTTTCATTCGAAAGAAGAAATATTTCATTAAGAGATAAATTTGTAAAAATTTTCAGTATTTCAGTCAAGTTTTAACAAATTATACGATAATAATAACTATTATAATAATTTTCATTTCAGTTATTGTACTTTTTATATGAATGATTGTCTTGAGATGTCATATCAAATAGCATTATATTACAATTTGTAACTTAAAAAACATGTTTTGTGCGAATAAAACATCATTTAAACTGTTATAAAACGCAATATTGCTTAACATAACATAAATATATTAAATATTATTTTGAAAATAATAGTTATGTTAAGTAAGATAAAAAGTATCGTTTAATATTGAAAAAATAAAAATAAATATTTATCGATATATTTTGACACAAATAAAAACTATCAAATGTCTCAGTCATATAATTCATTTCTATGTTAACCGTGTAATATAAAAGTTACTTTAAAATAAAGTTTTAACAAATGACTGCAAAAATCTTTACAAATGTAAATACCGGTAATTGATTTAAGTCTATTATAAAAATAATAATATTTGTCTTTTATTGTCAATAGGTATTGATTTTAATGATAATTATTGGAAACAACTTTTGTTTTGATTTACAAACCAATTACAAACACTTTCAAATAAGTGTCAAACAATTTCATTTGCAAAGTCCTATGCTATCAACGGATACTTTGTTACAAACAAAATATATGGAGAAATGCAACAGATTTTATCATTTATTTGTTATTATGTTAATCATTGACTTAATAGTGAGCTTACTTTGGTTTGAATAGACTGATTGTCATACCAGCCCTCAACCCTTTCCATAACAGCGCAAAACAAATAATAGGAGTCGTGTTCAATGTATTGCGGATCCATTAATACTTTTATTTCATCTCTAAAACCGAAATGTAAAATAATATCATTATTTATTTTGTAAAACTATTGATATATAATATAATTAATTAATTATAATTTTAAAAACTTTTAATTAATACTTAATAGTATTCATATAGTTTAATATTTATCTGTTTATATAAGCATAAAACTAGTATTAATGTTTAGCAGTTTATAATGAAGTCAATTAAAAAGTTAAATGAAAAATAAATAAAAAATTTAAAAAACAAAAACAATACTCAATGAGTCCGATCTCTTCCGCGTGAAGAAAGGTCTGGTGATCGCAATGTATGACAAACAGAAGTGGAGCCAAAAGCTCATGCATTCCCTTTATATCAAATATAATATAATAAAAATTATATTTAATTATTAAAAATTAATTAAATTAATATTAAAAATCGTATTCTAGTATATAAATTAACATTATTTATTAAAACATTTATAATATACTTTATATAATAACTTCCTATTGATTTTAAAATAATAATAATAAAGGTTACAATAATTTATAATACATTATATGATACATTTTTAAAATATCGACAAATACTTATAGTATATTATTTTATAGTAATGAATATAAATTATAAAAAATTTGAATTTCAATAAACTTAAATTATCTTAATATAAGTACCGATAGTCTAAAAATTTATAATGCAAATATATAATAGTAAAAATAATTTTAATATTGAGCTTTCAATATAAAAATTTAAACATAATTACGGTAAGTAAATACAGGGTTTCACCATTCTATTTCAATGTAGTTCAAAACTATTTCAATAGTAAACATATTTATTTGACTGAACAAATATATTTCAATAGTAAACGTATCTATTTCATTGTGAACACAACTATTTCAAAAATAAACTTATTTATTTCAATACTTTTGCTTTAGTGCAATACCTAACAAACTTTTGTTTATTGTTTACAAATGTATTACAAATATTAATCCTTTAAAATAAACATCTTATTTACTTAAAAGTGCAAAATTTTAATAATCTCAAAATTTTAATAAACTATTTTTGAGTTTTAAAATGTTTAATAAGAATTAAATGTATTATAATAAAGCATAGTTTGGAGTATTGAAATAAATAAGTTTACTTTTGAAATAGTTGTGTTCAACAATGAAATATTAAAATAGATGAGATGTAATCAAAATATAAAATATTTGATTACCGGTAATAATTATCGTAATTATCAATATATCTTACGGTAAGTATTATACAGTACTATCAAAATAATATTTTTTTAAAAATTAATTACCGGTATGGTTCGTATATATTATAGTAAAACACTGTTATTAGTAATAGAAATAAAATACATTTTATAAATTTATATAAATTACTTGTTTATAATCAATGGACGGATTTTCACGGGCAAAATGAAACAATATGTTAATCATAACGGTTTGTATTTGTGGTAATTGAAAGAAGTCTATTTCGGGGAACGTCCGGATCACGTCCTGTGTAATCCGTGACCTTAGCTCACTGTCCGTAAAGTACTGATTCCATTGACTCTGTATTAATAAAAACATTATATTTAAACAAAAACATAATAATATGTTAGACATAATATACAGCCTCGTCCTGTGATAATGGATTATCGGTGGCATTAATGATCTTTATCTCAATCATCTTCTCATTGACATCGGGTTTGACATTTCGCGGATCTTTATTATATTTATCGCATATAAACTCATACTTCTGGCGAAACTCTTTGATTTTAACAACACATTCATCACTAGATTCAGGCAAAGATTCGAGAAATACCTGTTTTGAGTTATATAAAAAAAATACAAATAAAAAATGAGTAAAAATATTAAATATTATGTAACGTAATATAAAAAATATATAATAAAGTTTATACTGTAGTAATCTACATAAAATTATTTGTCCAAAACTAACTAACTGTAAATGAAAATTATTATAATTTTCAAAATTAAATATTTCGTTTTAATGAAAATCTATTTTATTTTCTTAGAGATAGCGGTAAAAAACCTAAAATTTGTTAATATTATTTTAAATATTAGTTATAAAATCTACAATTTAGTAAATTTATTAAATAAAAATAAGGTTAGAAACACAAATCAATTACAGTAAATAAACTTTCTTTTAAATTACAAAAGGTTTGCTAAATTTGACAATATTTTATAAATATTATTATTTTAAATTATTAAATTTCTATCATTAATTATAGAGCAATATTATAAATATTTCTTATAATTAATAACACAATAAAATTATTTAAAAAAAACACATAACAGTAGTCTAACTACTTTAATATAAACATATTATAAATAACAATTATTATCAAATGAGATAAATAATGTAACAGTTCAAGGTAATAAAACATTGATAATAAATATTAAATTTCATAAAAATTTAACATAAAATAACACTATTATATTGTATACTGTTATACAAAAGTATAAATAATTTAGTAATTATAGTCAAGTCCGACAATAAACCAAATTAACGATAAAATCATTAATTTATTCATCAAATAAACGGATCAATCAGTGTATGAATTATGACTTACTCTCCAACATAACGACCGGAACCGACAGCTTCTGAGACCCGACTGAAGAGCCGTCCGACGGATAGTTTTGATGCCGTCTTTCGAGTGAAACAATGATAAGTACTCTTCGCTAATGAAGTAATCATTCAAAAGAAGAAATAATTAATTGTTTTGTACGACAATATCATCGACTATACCATACATATAGTAATTATTGCTGATTTGGTCTTCAATCCTGTGCTCAATCACAACCTCTTCGGCCGACTCTATAATAGAGAAGTCGTCTTCAATGGCAGTATTGATGTCGACATTCATAGCGGATGTCACGGCTGGCCAGTGGTCACCAAATCGATGGCAAATATAAAAATGAGATTATAATTAAAACCAAATTAAAATTTAATGACTCTTTTGGTGACAATTTGTTTTGTCAAACAATTGTTTACATAATTATCACTTAAAAGACGTCTGATTTTATAGTCAATCGTTGTTTCAATCAATCGATACAACGATTCATATGTTTTATGAGACAAATCATAACAAATAGTAAAACACTTGTATTATAATAATTACACAAAAAGTCATTAAATATTAAATATCATATCATTTGACTTATAATAACTTAATAATTATTTTATTTTGTTTGCTAATCAATACATAAGTAAAGTTTACATACAATTTATTTGATGAGAGCTTACGGTTATTTGCAAATGTTTTTTATTTATATTACAAAATCATTTTATCACTAAAATTGATAATCAAATCAAATAAAAATATTTATATTTTATTATTCATTTCATTTCAATTCATAACAAATACTAAATTGTCTTTCAATTCAATCGTTTCATTCAATAATATATCCAATAATACAGTAAACATATGTTCTGTTAATTTGTTGTTCACTTATAATAATATATATTCAATGCATTCAATCCACAAAACATTTCAATAATCTAAACCTTAAATCATTGCAACAAAACTTTTTATGCGTGTATTCATTGTTTCAAAGATTTGAATCATAGATGGCGTTCACAAGTGTTGAATACATTTTCATATCATTTTACCGCTAATTTGAAAATTCAATTAAATTTAAGTTTTATTAATTAAACTTTTATTTTAATCATTATAATAACAATATAGTCATTAAAAATGATTAATTTATAGTTAAGCAAAAATATGAATGTTATGTTTTAAATAATAGTTTTTTAAAAATTTAAATTTGAATCAAATATTTCGTGGTTAATGACTAAAAAAAACTTTAAAAATATTATTAATTTACAATAATTGTGGCAAACATTTAACAAACAGTTACTGTATTTGTATCGTCAACTTCTATACAATGATGACAACCGCAGACACTGTCAGAGTTGTGAATAATTGAATGAATGAATAGTTTTAAAGTTTTATTATTACCGGTAGTATGTGTTTCACTACATATGTTGCTAATTGAATGATAAGTTAAATGATTTTTCAAAATGGTATCAAAATACTGTGTTATGTTTTTAAAATAATTGTAAAATTTAAATTTTGATTATACATGAAATAAATTTTTTAATTCATATCATTTAAACAAACACTTGTCTGTCATGAAAGTTGATGTGTGAGAGAGAGGCCGACCGGGGAATGTCGTAGAGGACATACCTCTTGTCCTCTTTTCTGTCCAGAGATCGAGTATTTGTTAAATATGCTATAAAAAGATTAAATTGTTTAAAAAATCAAATAATATAATTAATAATTATATAATTATAAAATGATCTAATTTATAAAAAACAAACTTTACCCATATGTTCGCTGTACTCATTAATCTCAGGCAATATATAGAAGTCACACGAATTGAAGTACACTTTTCGGCGACTATTGTCAAAACTGGTGGATCTATTCATTGGTGATCTTCTATTGTATTTTAATATGAGTTGTTCGTAATAACTCATTTGATTACTTTTCGACTTTAAGTGGTAATCGATGGCTGAATCGCTGATATAGCTTTTCATCGATGACTTTCTAATATCTTTATTGACTGTATTTTTTGAAATTGTTTGATTATCTTCAAGTTTTAAACACTTTAGACTACGAGTGCCTAAATGTCTGTGACCACAAATTAATGAGATCTCCAGGTGCTCGTTGGATGTCACCATAAACTCTTAAATAGTCAATAAAAATTAGAATAAAATTGATATAATAATTATAATTAATTAATTAATTAATTAGTTAATTACCTGGTAATGTAAAATACAATGTAAATGCATTTTTCCAGTGAACTTTGAAAATATCATTTGTCACACCAATTGATAGATGCATTCGTTGACTATCATTAACAGGAGAGTCCAATAATATATATATTTTATCTCTGGACTAATAAATAAATATATAAATTAATTAAAACAAATTATTATTGATTATACCTTATAGACAGTATCAGTGGATAATTCAAATTGTGGTGCTATTGATAATAATGCGTTAATTTTTTTATTTGGCATTTTTAATGCCCGTGTTTTAGAAAATGTTTTATTTAATTCCAATATATTTGTTAAACATTTTACAGTGTTTATCGAAAATTGTTTGGCATCGGTATGTGTGGCCACCAGTCGATGATAAGCCCGATATCCACACAACAAACTGCGGTGAATGTTAGTCACATCCGACTCAAGACAATTGCAAAATAAAAGCAAACATTTTATTGGATTTATATATTTAGTCAATGAATATATTTTATCAGACATTATGTATATATAATTCAAAAACTCTTTGCTTATAATAATGATAACGGCGTTTGTCTTAACTATAATTTCATGAAAGCACTGGTAGTCTTCATCCAAATGTTCAATAGGTTTGTGATGTATAGTCAACGGGTAGTCTAGCATTTGTGAGAACTCTTCACTGAGATAACTGTGCCATTCATATTCATCCGATGCATATAACAATAAGATCTCTGGCACTATAAATGATAACATTTCAATTGTTTATATAATTTCTAAGAAAAATTATCAAAATTCAATGAAAACATGATTTTTAATAACTAAAATTGAATTCAACAAAACATTATTCATATTATCATATTTGATAGGTTTATGTTTTTTGTTTAAACATTGACCATATGTTTAAACATTGTGTTGATTGACTATTAATGTTCATAATATACACTACAATATGCTTTATTATACTTTATTCCATATAAAGTTTAGTTGAAATTTATTTTATAGCTAATACAATGTACTAAATATTGTAAAAATACATACACTAATAAATATTATACTAAAAATATTGCGACAATGTTTTATATAATACTATGTTATTCATTATTCATTATTTAATATTAAATACTAATAAATAGAAAAGCAATTGAAATGCATTATATCGTCAAACAAATCTCAATAATTTTATATCATTGTAATGTTAATATATTAATAGTATAAACAGTTAAACAAAACATAAGATATATAACAGGATTCCAGGACATTGCCGGTCAATCTAAGACAGTTGGCAACTCTAAGTATGAGCTAAATGCTTGCGTGTATCGATAAAATGGTTCAAGACACTTTTTTAAAGTGATATATATGTATTTTGTATGTATAAATGTATTTTGTTAATTAATTTGTATTACATTTTTTCTAATATATTAAATGTTTCACAAATTGAAGGTATATTTGTATAATTGTTATATACTGTACTAAAATTTAATATTATATCAATTTATTTATCTCTGTTTTCAATATATGTTTGACTTAAATATAAAATATTCAGAAATATCATTAATATTTTTAGAACATCAAGTCTTCATAATTTAAATGTTCAAAATTATAACTAATATATTATAATATTATTAAATAATGTAATTATATTTTTTATATCTAGAAAATATACAATTAAATTGAGAACACAATACTAGGTTTGATAATAATTAATTCAAACTATTGACAATATTGGAGTCTATTGTACAAAGAAATGGGCCAATAGAATATTCCATGAGAAAGTTTCTAGTAAATTTCTCAAAAATAAATTTGCATAAAAATTTTACTTTATTACCTGTACTTTAAAATGCATTTCAAGGAAACGGTAATTTGATTAGTGTTAGTATTTTTTTGCAAATTAGAGAAAATACATTATAAGGCTTTTATAAATAAGGCTGAAATAAATAAACGATTTATGAACTTAAGTAACAATAAAATTAATTTAATTTATAAAATTTCTTAATTTTATTATTAAAGCAAATCTATATGTCTATCATAAATGGTTCATCATTTACACTGTATATCAACAATAATTCAATTGATAAATACTGTAATTAACAAAATTGTTTGACGAAAGAAACTTTGAGAATGCATTAAATAAAAATATATTAATGAAAAGATAACATTCAAAAATAATAAATTTTTATTTGTTTAAAAAAGTTAATTAATTTAATAACAGTTTATTTTATTCCTGTATTATAATTTTATAAGTTAAAAAATAAATATTTAAAAATTATATTTAATTTTTAATAATAACTAATACTAGTAATTAGATAAATTTGAATTTAGGGCTACCAAATAAAAATTAACTAAAGGATTACCTAAGGAATAGACATTGAATTTTTAAAATTATAATTGAATTAATTATTAATAATTATTTGGTTAGAAATAATTATTATTTAACTATCAATTACTTTTAATTAATTATTAATATTTACTTATTTAATAAATATAAACTACAATTACTACTAGTTTCATCAAAAATTAATACCATTAATTTACCAATAATATAACATCATTCAATCTTAATGAAATGTTATGTTAAAATATTGATTTGTTGTTTACTAAAAGTTTAATAAATGCTTTTCATTTTTATATCCGATTTTATTTAAATAAAAATTTATTTTTTATTTATGATAAAATAATATTTAAATATATTAATATTCCTATATATTATAATAATAATTAATAAATGCTAACTTAATTTTATTTTAAAATATTAATTTCATAAAATTCTTGAGAAAATTACTATTATTGAGTTGTTATTTTCAAAATATTTTATATCTTTTATATATACTCCTTGACAACTGAGGATTATTGTCTCACTTTTACCTCAAAATAGTACAAATACTCCCGACGGGAGTACGTTTGGCAACACTACTTTCAACAAATGTTTTTAGTATAATAATAATAAAAATAATATTTTAAAAGTAATTGTAATCTCAATGTATATGTAAGTCTGTGGTTTGTTTATATAATAATTATTGTCTAACTTTATGACTCAATATATTCACAAATATTTATAGAATAGTTTATTCATTTTAAAGTTAATTTTTAACTTTAATTGCTAGCATTCCTATAAAACACATTAAATATTATTTATAATTATATGTCATTTTTAAATATTAATTAAATATTTATATATTTAAGTTATCAAATTATTTATTTTTTGTTTTGTTTTATAGTTTAAATTTTATGTATAATTTTAATAAGTGACATTGAATTGTAAATGAAATTAATAAATGATTTCATAATTAATTATATTTTGATTAACAATTTTATCAAATGATGTTTTCTACTAATTTATTAAGCAATAAAATAACCTTTTTAATGTACTTATATACAGTATTGAATTACATAATAAATTTAATTGATTATAAAGATAATCATATAAGATTTTTTGAATATCATAAAATTATGATAATTGATATTAAAAATAAACTGATTAATTAATTATACTTAGCGTTGTTTAATATTGTATTAATAATAAATATATTTATTTAAATATTTTTGGAAATATTAAAATTAAGTAAATTTAGTTAAAAATAAAAACAATGAGTTAATGATAAAAAATATTTATAAAAAATAAATATATAGTATTAAATGTATAGTTTAATTTTTTGTAAAAATGTAATAAATTATAAGTTTTCTTACATTTTATTATAAATTCTGTAAAATTATAATATTCAATTTAAATTGACAATTTGGTGTTAATTTTAATCACATTTAATTAAATCCTATACATTATTGAACTGATATTGAATATACAGTATAACTATATAAATATAATGGCTATTTTAATCTTTTAAAAGTATGCACTTTATATTTTTTATAAAATTTATAATTTTATATAAAAATAAGATATAATAATAGTTATATTAACTGAATTAATGATTATTTGTTATATGATTGTCATAAACATAACTTTAATTGTTATACAACTGTTAGTGTGATTTTTTTTGACGCCGATAACAATTAAATGATAAAACTTGCGATAAACACATAAATAGGGTCTGAAAAAGTTGAATCATTTCATACGAGTGCTCAGTTAGGCATAGAATGAACAAAAGCCCCGATTGTATTGTAAAGTCAAACACTCAGACTGACGATAATAGTCGAGAACGAGTGAATAGTTATGTAATTGTCCGACGATTTTGTAAACTATTCAAAACACAGTACGACTCCAAACATCTGGTTTTGCTGACTGTCCTGTGTTTCGGTAGTGTTTTGACCAGTACTGCGGCCTCATTGGACGGACCTTTCTTCCCATCCGTTGTATGTATTGTACAAATCATTTCAACAAATAAATAAATTTAAAATAAATAATGCAATACATTAATAAAGTTCTAATGTAATTTTATTTAAAATTTAAAAAAATTTGCATTAAAAATTTTAATCATTTGAACAAATAAGCAAATTTGTCAATATATATATATATATATATATAATTTTAAAGGCCGAACAACGGGGTATAAGTGATTCTTGGATTGGAGTAATTAATGGTATCATTAATTTGGGTTTTATTATCGGTTCAATACTATCAAGATATTTGGTATAAAATTATAATGATTTTATTGAATATAAAAATAAAGATTAATTTTTTAAAAACAGTTGTCAAGATATAAGCCAAAAAATGTACTCAAAATATGTGTATTCATATTTGGATTATCCATTTGTGGATTTGGGTTTGTTTTTAACAAATTAATTAATTTTGTTTAACACTAATTTGTTTTATAAACCTATAGATCTCTTGAATGGTGTTTTAGTGCCAAATACTTCATACCGATAGCAATATTCATACAATTAGTGATTGGCTTTCAAATGGGAACTTATTTTACAACGAGTTATACAATTATTTATTTAGAGTTTACTGAAAATCTCAATCAAGTTTATGTAATCAATAATTAATTTATTTTATTACTGTTTTCTCAATACATTACGCTATTATTTTAGGCTAAGATTGAAGTCTATTATTCAATTGGTCTTATAATAGGTCCACCGCTCGCAGGATTTGTATTTCAAGTACAGAAAAAATAAAAGTGTTAACAAAATATTAAATATTTATATTAAAAACAACAGTTGGGAGAGACATTTGGCTATGGATTTTGTGTACCATTTTATGTTTTCGCATTTTTAGCTCTTGTTATGACAATTGTTATACATCTAACTGTCAAAACTGAAAGTAAAAAACAATTAGCAAAACATATGTTGAAATATTAACAAATGATTAATTTATTTTTGTTAAGCACTTTATGAAAATAAGGGAAACATATCGTATTGGCAATTGATGTCAAAAGGAGGTATTTTAGTCAATGTTTTGGTGACTATGAATGCCGGTGCTCTCATTGGATTCAATACAACAACATTGGAATTGCACTTAGAAGATGTATAATTAAATGATCATGCACATTTTATAAAACAATTTTAATGTTATATTTTAATTTATATCAATAGATAGCTAATTTGTCGCCATCAATGGTAGGGCTGGTATTTTTAATATCAGGAGTCTCTTTGGTTACATTTAATCATATTTTTGAGCATTTGGCCCACAAAATCAAACAAAAATATGTAATTAGTTTAATAGGTTGTTTGTCGGCACTGATATGTTTAACAATAATAGGTCCCATACCTATGATTGAAATTGAACCGTAAGTAAAGTCCCCAAAAGAATTGAGAATTAATTTTTTAATTATATAACATAAACTTTTTTTTAAAGCCAATTATATTTAGTAATTATTTCGCAAATATTTCTTGGATTGGGTATCAGTGCTCTATTGGTGGGTGCATTTGAACAGGGAACAAAAGAGAACAGGTTTCATATCTATTACTTTCCATACAATTTAAACAAATAATTCAAATTTCAAAATTAATTGTTAGAAACAATGTATTTGTTGAAAGTTCTTCCACAACTGCAATACTATCCTCACTGTTCACAACGTGGGAGGCGTTGGGGTATTCATATAAATTGCAATTGTAGTAAATTTTAGTAATTAATTATATACTATATTTTGTAAACTAGTGATGCATTTGGACCGGTAATCGGGGGAACACTTATGGAAAGTTTCGACTATTCCTGGTCTTCGTTCCCATTCTTTGCACTTCAACTGATTTTGGTATTAAATTTGTTTTAAATTTACATAAAAAATGTAAAATTGTTAACAAACATACAATTTATAAAAGTTGATTCTAATTAATAATATTTTCTTATATTTTATAACTCAATTTGTTTAATACAACATTTCTATTATAGATTCATTAAGTTTAATCTAACTATAATTTAATCTAACTTTTTAAATATTCTTTTTAAAAATATATTAATTATGTGTATATATTAAGAATAACTATTACAATCTTTTAAATATTTAATTACTATATTTATTTTATTGCTCTCTTTATGTTTATGAGTTTATTATTATCATTATGTGACAAAACTATTTGTTAACATAAAACACGCATTTTACACATACAGTATAATTTACACGTATCTACAATACAATATAAAGTATTGTTTTTTGATAGATACAAAACTTTATTAATTATATAGATAAGTGTGCATGATAAGTTTTATTATTTACCGACAGAAAGAAAATTGATTAATAATATAGAGATAAAAGATTTAATTGTATTTGCAGTTTAAAAAAAAAACTTAATATTGTTATTTTTAATAGTAAAATAAGTTTAAACATTATTTACAATTATAAACTATGTTTATTTTAAAAGTTTTGTTTAATTTATTATTTAATTATTAAAATTAAATATTTTATTACAGATTACAATAATTACTTTATTTTATTTATGGCGAAAATTTACAAATAAAAAAGAAGATATTACATTAGAGAGTGTATGTTATGGCAATAATATTATCCAAACAACAAATTTTACAAATAAACCAGTTTAATATTTCATAAATTATATAAATAGCAAATTTTGTTATTTAAATAAAAATTAATAATTTAATTATCAATAGATATACTATTTCAATAATTTTATTATTTTTATATCTATTTAATAGAATAGTTGCAAAACAAAATGCAACATAATTATATAATTAATTAATTTTCACCAATTTATTGAAATAAAATTTTCCAGAATTTAATTATATAAAATTTTATTTAAATGATGATCTACAGTATAAATTACATTAATATTACATACTGTTTACTGTATCAATACATAAAATTTATATTTTTAATTGTATATGTATAATGTTTATCATAATAAATATTGAACAATAATATTAAAAGTGAACCTGTTCAAATATTACAAATTAATAGTTAAAAATATTTAAAGTATAATATCATTAGTAATATTCTAAATAAAAATAATAATTTGAATTTATATTTAATCAGCAATATGCTATTCAATTGAAATAAAAATAAAATTAGTACAATATAAACTTGAAATATATTATATATTCAAATAGATGACATAAACTATTGTTAGTTATATTAGAAAAGTGGTTGTTATTATTGAAATAAAAAAATGTACAAGATTGTTTTAATCAATTTATTCATAGTGTATATAATATATATAAACTGTGATCAAACACCAACCCCTCCGCAGGAATTTAAATGTATGAAAGAATTTTATACAAAATATTGTGTTGAAAAAGATCCGAATATTTTCAAAAAATTAAACAAATGTGAAGAGAAAAATCCTAAAGAGGTCTGAATTTTTTGTTATTGAATTAATTTGAATTTGAAGTTGAATTTGAAAAATTAAATTAATCTAATTTATAATAATTACTTTAATTTAGATTAGAGAAATTGAAATGAAATGCGTACAAAAAGTACGGAAAGAGCAGGGAAAGGGAGATGGACTACCATCTGATCAGGAATATCAGGCACTTGAATGTGACGCCCACTGGGGTGAGAAGGTATGTCATACAATATATGTATTGTATTTATAATATATTTAAAATTGCACATAAATTCAATCATTTTATTTTTTGAAAGTTTGAAAAATGTATGAATGAAAGCCTGACCGACCAAGAGATGGCCAAACTTGAGAAACTATATCCGCCGCCGAAATTGGATAATATTGCCAAAGAAATTATGGTTTGTTTTATAAATGATTAGTTTTATTATTGTTATTAACAATTGATTTGTTAATTTTAATTACATTTAGCATTGCGATTGTGATGTATATGGTATTAAACATGACTAGTATATTACAGTACTTACAGTATAAACCTTTGCAATAATCTTTGATAATGTATTTATTTATTATGAATAAAAAAATTTTAAATTTTATAAAACAAAAATTATAATCATTTATTATTTATACAAAATAATGAGATTGTATAAATTATTGTATAACTTAATAATTATATAGGCTATAATAATCATCATAAATTAATTATTATATTTTAGCAATTTTACAATAAACTACAACATTATGACTCAATACTCATCAATAAATTTATGTATAAATAATTAAATTTGTGATACATTTTGAACGGTTAGTATTTTAGTTTGACATCGAGTGCGTCGATATCTAATGTAATATCCTATACCTATGCCTACAATAGTCGGTCCCACTATTAAACTCCAAACCCAAATCCATACACTAATATCTGATCGATTGATAATCTGTTGACTTTTGACAACACATTTGTATCCATTTTTGTTATTTTCTTCATATCCTTCTTCACAAACACAGGAACCATGAAAACAGAGTCTATGGCTGTCGTGATGTGAATAACAAACAATTGAATAACTTTGAGAACAGTTGTATTTTACACATTCATTATTTTGACTATTGTATCGGTAATCTGCGGCACAATAACATATCCGATCAACACATACACTGTGTTTGCTTACACATGGATTAGATGGGGAACAGTAGTCTTGAATGACATGATCGTCACCGGCTATTTGATTAAGATTTTCAATTTTATTTAAATTATTCACTAAAACTATTGCATTAAGAAATACTATATAATATAGAAACATACTTAAAATTTTTATTTACTACAAATTTAATAGTTTATCATATATTATGTCAAAAATATAAAAAATATTCATTACATAAAAGTATTTCATTTGTCAATTATCTTTTTTGGATTAATTTGAAGTGAATTTCGATACTTAATAAATAATTGTTTTATTATCTTTAAACATAAATCTTAATGTTTTATCTATTATTTTATTTACATATATATTCATGTATTTAATAAGTATGAATCACTATACTATTTTAAGTTAGATTGGTTTAAAATTAATATTAACATTAGTAATTTTATTAAAATTAGTAATATTATAGCATAAAATATTTTACTTATCTCTATTTAATTCTAATACAGTATGTTAATTATGTAACTCTTAATATTAAATAAATATAAAAATTGTTATATATTTTGTCTATTTGTTACAGTAATACTGGTTATTATTGTTATTTTTATCAATTTTACACTTACTTTTTTGTTTAATTTATTATTGATTAATTTATAATTTAATTTTAATTAACTACGATTTAATTATATTTTTTGAATATGCTAAACATATGACGTTTAGTGTAAACTGTAATTTATTAATATATAAAAATAATAACTGTTTATGAATTTTAAAAAATCATAAAATTAAACAAAAATTTGAATTTCACAATATATAACTAATCATAATTATCTATCAATATACTGGTATTATATAATTTTTATTGTCTTTATTTATCTTTTTATTTGTTTTTTATTAATATAATTATTTATAAAGTTACGCCTCCAAAGTATGTTCTCATATTAATATATATTTTATCAGTTTATTAGTGCATCGAAATTAGTTATTATAAACTTCTATACAAATATATCTATATTATATTTCAAATATTTAAAATAAACTAATGTTTTAAATAAACATGTTTGTTTTTTATATTGGAAATGTTTGATAAAGCATAGTTTGGCTAAAATATTTTAAAATACATAATTAGAAATATTATGTTTATTAAAACTTATTAAAATTTGATTGAATTGCTAAATATGTAAATAATTATGACATATTTTTATATTTAGCTCAACTATATTTAATCAAACAATTCTTAAATAATTATTATAAAACAGACAATAGTTAGTAATAAAACTTTATACGGACTAAATTAAACTATAAATCTTATAAAATTTTTGCAACAATTATTATATAGTTGTTTACTGAATTATAAAATCATGAAAACCAATAGTATAGTGTCAAATAGTTGCAGTTTGAAAAATAAATGTTTTATGATTTATAAAACTTACAAAATTATTATTATTATTTATTTTTATTGTTTGACTTTATATTTTCATTATATTCATATTTTTTATTAGTATTAAGCAAATGTTATTAAATGTTTTTAAGATAGTCAATTAAAATATCAAATATAATTATTAAATTTAATAAACATATAAACTAAAATAAATTGCAATATAATTTGTTAAAAACTTTATAGCTTTATAGTATATGAACTATACTTTATATTATATTATGTAACTGCTCATGGTTCAAAAATTACTGATATAACTATTTATAATTATTATTAAATTACATATATATATAAAATTTATTAGAATTCATTAATTTTTGTTATTATAAATTTATATATTGTTATTACAAGTCATGTAATATAAATGGCAAACAAACAAAATGGTTTTCAACTATCATTTAATGTTATTGTTATTGTCATCAATGCAATTGGCATACAATAGTCTGGAAGAAAATAACAAAAGTTGTCCACAAAATTTCAGATTTGATCACAATTTACAAGAATGTGTGTCAATCACTGTGTGCTCTGAAGGTTATGAGCTCGACATCAATGGTAAATGCGGTCCGATATCTGATCTCAAAGACAACAAATGCAATGCTGACAAAACCTGTAAAGTTGACAATCAATTTTGCTATGAAAATAAATATTGTAAATGTAAGCCTAATTACTATTATAATAAGATAAATGATAAATGTGAGATTGGTCATTGTAATAATGATTATGATTGTCACAAAAGTGACAAAAATAGGGTTTGCCATAAAAATATGCGCACCTGTAGGTGCAAAAAGGGTTACACCAGACTAATAGGTGACGAAAATGGTTTGTGTCAAGAAATGTCATGTAAATCAGATATTGATTGTCACCTCAATGGTATGGTATGTCTTAAAAATAAATGCAAATGTAATAAACATTTTACATTTGATGAAAAATTGGGCAAATGTTTAACAAATCGGTCACTTTATGGAGAATTTTGTCTCAACGATAGCAGTTGTTACGATGGCCTGTCATCTATAGGTGCAATGATATGTAATAATAAAGAGTGTAAGTGTGCGCCTAATTATCAATTATCAAAGACAACCACAAAACAAGATATTTGTCAACTATATCGGTGTAAAACAGATAAGGATTGTCATAGTTATGACCAAAAAAGGTATTGCAGTAAAAAGCATAAGCAGTGCACCTGTTATACGGGTTATGAAGAAGATCTAAACAATGGACGAAAATGTATTAAATCTGATAATTATAAAAATGTAAACTCGACTCTCTATATATGGTATATCATATGTTTTATAATACCACTGCTATTTGTTTTATTAGCTTTCATAGCATTTTTGTCATATTCTTTAAAACAAAATTTTTCAACAACAATGACAACAACAAACCGCAATAATCCAGTCAACAATATTAACAATAATAAGGATAGTAATAGTTTTGAAATTATTGAACACTCGACTACAGTGCCAACTGATGATAAGCCGCCATCGTATACGACTTTCCAACCACCTGTCTATGATAACTATGTAACAACAAATTTAGCAAACATTTAATTTTATAATTTAAACATTTAACGTTTTTAACTAAAAATTAATATCTATTTAAATTGTGTATATTATCTATATTGTTATTTCCAAATAATTTCAAAACTAATAAATATTTTTAACTTTGTAATAATATATTTAATCAGATATATTATAGATATATTGATTTTATTAAGAAATTAAGAATATTTATTATGAAGTATTTATAAATATATAGATTATTATTAACTAAAAATTTTAAATTAGTGGATAAAATATTAATTTGATATGTATAATAATTTAATACAATTAAAGTTTCAAATTATTGCAATCTTATTTAATAGTATCAATTTATTATAATAATTAAATTTTAGAGTAATAAATATTTCTAAAATTAATACAATAAATAATTTTTAAAATAAATTATGCTAATGTTATTTATAAATTATTTTTTTAAATTTTAATATAATTATATAATTCAAGAATAATATTCATTATAAAATTTAATAATTGATATATTAATATCTAAAGTTACAATAATTGTTGAAGTGTTTCCTAAAATAAACAATAATATGTTCAAACAATATTATTACTTACAAGTATTAATTAATAGTCTCTATATTTTAATAGTATATAAAACTTTTAGATGTTATATAACAAATACTGTAAGTTCAATGTTTTAACTAAAAAATAAATAAAAAGTATTAAATTATTATTCAAGTATTATTCACATTTATTAAAATAATTTTTATTATTTAAAGATATTAACCCAATAGTATTAATTAATAGTCTATTTGTAATACGTCTGCTTATTGTTTTGCTGATTATTTAAACATATTGTGATTGTTTAACTTATAATAAGTATATAAATACTTTAAATTTTTAGCTGTTTTATTTTAAGTTTATATTATAATTTTTATACATATATATTTTAATTGTAACCAATAGTAAAATTTAATTAACATAATGATTTTATTACTAATATTTTTGGTTTTAACTATGTCTAGTTTAATTTTAAACAGAACATTGTGTCCAGGTCATCCTGTTTATAATTATGAGTTAAAAAAATGTTTATTAAATATAACATGTAATACAAGTGATATTTGCCAAACATTTGACTATAAAATGTTGTGTTCAGACTCGGGTCGATGTGTATGTCTTAGGGGTTATTTGTCACCACAAAGTATATGTACAGACAGTCCACTTATGTCGTATGAATATTGCGATACAGTTAACACGTGTTGGGGTATTCCTAATCAGGTATGTGTAGACAACCGGTGCCGATCTGAACCTAATTACCGATACAATGAAAATATTGGACAGAATCAGTACTTTATGTGCGATCAAGATATTCAATGTCAAGAATATGACACAAATAGGATATGCAATACATTGGAGGGAATCTGTTATTGTAAATCGGGTTACATTGAAAACATAAGTAATGGACGTATATG